TTGATCATTGTTGGTTTGAAGTTGAGACTGTCTGAGAGTAGGATTGCTACCCCTGCTTTTTTCTAAGGTGCTAGGGCGTGTATTATTGTGTTCCATCCTTTGACTTTCAGCCTATGAATGTCATTATGAGTTAAATGTGTTTCTTGTATACAGCATATTGTTGGATTTTGTTTCCTAATCCACTGTGCCAGTCTGAAGAAATAAGCTTTTTAATTGGTAGGCTGAGTAAAAGAGAGTGTCCTCCCTAACTCTGGCAGGCCCTACCCACTCAGTCAGGTTAAGATTAACAGCTGCACTTCAGAAACAATGGAGACAAATCCATTACAGTAGGATATGATGGTGCACACTTGTAATCCCAGCTACTTGGGAGGCTAAAGCAGGAGGATCACAAATTGAAGGGCTGCCTGAGCAATTTCTGTGAACACTGTCTAAAAAAAATGTTTTTAAAGGGCTAGAGCTGTTGCTCAGCATGCTCAAAGCCCTGGGTTCCATCTCTAGTACTTGAAAAAAAACAAAAAGGAAACAGAAGTTGTCCAGTGCATGCCATTTTTAAGGGACTGAGAGAAAAAAGATGTAGAATTCGAGATTCCATATTTCTAAGTCTTTTTTATGTTGATCTAGGTAAATATGTTATTTGTTTTAATATTTGTATGATATTCCATTTCCTAGTGAGAAACAGTATTTATTCTTCTGTTGATTTTCTTTACCATATTATAGTGATATTTCACTGTTGCATTATTCTTATAGGTAATTTCATCATTTTTTCATTTTCTTATTACTTTAATCCTTTTTTTTTAAACATAGTTGGGAATACTTGGTAAGTATTTCTAAAATGATGAACTAACATAATGTATCATAGGGGTTTAAAACAATCCAGTGGACTTACAGGGTTACTGCACGAGAGAATGAATTTTATTCTTTTACTTTATTTATTTTTTAATGTATTTAGTACAGGATCTCACTATGTGGATCAGACTCATAATGATCCTCCTATTTTCAGCCTCCCAAACGCTGGAATTACAGGCATGCACCGCTGTGTCCAGTCTCAGTCGCTGTCTCAGTATGCCTCGGGGGCAGGTCTGGCATGGCATGCTGGGGATCGAACCCTTGGTCCCTGCATCTGCCTAAGCAGGTGCTTTAATCCGCTGAGCTATCTGGCCGGCCCTCTCTTACTCTGTTTTTAGAAATATATTTTCCTTTTTTTTTGACAGGTTTTTTTTTTGTGTGTGTGTGTGTGTGTGTGTGTGCACGTATGTGGAACCGGGGATTGAGCGCAGGCCCTTGCGCTTGTCTGGGAAGCGCTTATTCCACTGAGCCATCTCCCCGGCCCACATTTTCCTTTTTGTTCTGTGGAAGACTTATTTAAAATATCATGAATATCAATCTTTATAGTTTGAACTGCTCATAATAGAATTTCAAAAACTGAAATTGATTTGCAAAATGTTAGGGGACCAGGAGATGGAAGGAGAGGATAGCAAGGGGTAGAAAAGATTTCCGGGCTGTAGTGTGGCTCTGCAGTGGAGCACTTGCCTGGCATGCACAGGGCCTGAGTCAGTCCTTAGCACAAGGGAGAGAGAGGGAGAGGGAGAGAATGAATTAGGATGTGCTACACACGTGTATTGACTAACTCCCCACAATGAATGTAATCATTGATCGAATTCAAACATGTGCTAATAAAAACAATTTTAAAAAATGAATCTAATAGACCCTGATGATTATACATCAAGGCACAGATGAGGTAAAATGCCATCTAAAGCATCTTATAAAATCTCAGTTGTGATAGTTTACATGTGGCTGCATGAGTATAACCATGTGTTAAAAATAAAAAAAAAAAGAAGCTAGGTATGGTGGCACGTGCTTGTAACTCCAGCTGCATGGGATGCTGAGACAAGTGGGTACTGCATTTGACAACAGCCTGTAAAATTCAGTGAGACCCTGTCTCAAAATAAAAAGGGTTAAGGATTGGTTCAGTAGTAGAATGCCCCCTCGTTTGGTACTTAGTACCAGAAAGGGGTTGGAGGGAACAGTCTTTCCCAGTAACCAATTGTATGTTTCAGATTAGCTAGTACAAAGGACTAAAGATTAAACATTAAACCTATTGTTTCTGGGATAGTCTTCTCATCAAAACTCAGAAAAAGTAAGAGGAAGATGCCTCTAAGTGAGAGTGAATGCAATTAAGGGTTCCTTGAAGTAGTGAAATAAGATGTGTAAATTCACATTGAGTTACTTGATACACATACACTATATATCATCAGTATATATTTTTATTTTATGGCTATTAAATGTGTGGTTGTAGAATGTATTTTCAGTTTGTAGAGTTTTGAAAATGTGATTTCAATACTTTGGAGAGAGCAACAACCATGATTAAATTATGCCACTCTATTTACTGTCAAAGTGGAGCAAAATTAAACTGTTGATAGCTTTGCAGCATTTTTAATTAGTTTATTGATGCATTCAAATTGTGACCATTAATGTAATTTCTTCCCTTTCTAGCTTGGTGCGAACAGTGGTTTGCACATCATCATCTTTGATGAAATTGATGCCATCTGCAAGCAGAGAGGGAGCATGGCTGGCAGCACTGGAGTTCACGACACTGTTGTCAATCAGCTGTTGTCCAAAATCGATGGGGTAGAGCAGCTGAACAACATCCTAGTCATTGGTATGCTTTTTGTTTATAAGGTTCCAGCCTTCCAAAAATCAGACACACGTTAAGATCTGTGATGGTTGTTTCTTGGCAGTGTCTCCAAATTAGAATGACTTGACACTGGAGAATTTAATTAGAAGGTTTAGAGGAAAAATAAATGGGGTGTTTTAGTGGCTTCTGTTTATGCTATGGCTCACTCACAGATGAAAAAAAGGCAGAACAATGAGATGCAGTAGTTTTTTTTTTTTTTTTTGGCGGAACCGGGGATTGAACTCAGGCCCTTGTGCTTGCCAGGGAAGCGCTTGTTCTACTGAGCCGTCTCCCCAGCCCATGCAGTAGTTTTCAAACTGTGTAACATTAGCCTTCCCCAAGTCCTCAGAGGGACTCAGGGAGTGAGCTCTGCATCCTGTATCACTACTGTAACTTCCATTTTTTAACTCATATACTGAACTTCATAAGATGGTTTTGGAGGAGGAAAAGAAAATACTGTTTTTAGGGATCTTGAAAACCACTGGCCTGTTAAAAAAGGGAAGGAATTTTGAAGTCGGAGAGATCATGTTTACGTTACTCTTCTGTCCCTTTCGCAGAGATATACTTATACTCTCTGAACCTTAAATTTTCTTGTGAACTATTCAGATTTTTCCTTACATTTATATATTTGTTCGGCTTATGTGGTAGTGAAATAATAAAGCAGAGTCTTCTGATATTTCCAGTAGAACAGATCAAGAACAAAATGCTGTTTTTAAATATGAGAATAAATTGTTTCTCTATTATAAACTATCCTCTCAGCTTGTTAGAGAAATTACTCTTCTCATATAAACTAAAGGGACATTTTATCTTATTTTTTTATTTTAACATTACATTCAGGAATGACCAATAGACCAGATCTGATAGATGAAGCTCTCCTTCGACCTGGAAGACTGGAAGTCAAAATGGAGATAGGTAAGCAGATGTGTACACTTATACCAGTAGGCAGGGGTGTGTGTGTGTGTGTGTGTGTGTACTACATATAGATGCATGTGGCACTCAAGAGTTCATTGACAGGACCAATGTCACATACCTTAATGTTTGTTAGAAAAATTGCATCATGAGAAGCAGTTGCTTATATGTTTGAAACCCTAGAGAAAAATACTGAGATTATAATCTCTGATAGGCTCTAGAAACTGGGAAAATGTCTCATCTGTTTTTATCAGGCTTACCAGATGAAAAAGGTCGACTACAGATCCTTCACATCCACACAGCAAGGATGAGAGACCATCAGTTACTCTCTACTGATGTGGACATTAAAGAGCTGGCTGTGGAGACCAAGAACTTCAGTGGTGCTGAGCTGGAGGGTCTGGTGCGAGCAGCACAGTCCACTGCTATGAACAGACATATAAAGGTCAGGAAAGCAGTTTAAATCAGTTAGTCATTTGCTCTCTAAATACCAAGTGGCCATTCTTTTTCTTTTCTTTCAAGCATGCCAGTTGCTAGGTTAATGCTGGCACTGATGGACAAGAGATGATAAAAACAATTCAGAATTCGTTGTCCACTGCTGTCTACAGAATAGCCGGAAGAAAGCAATGCTGGGGGCTGGGGAGATGGCTCAGGGGAATAAGCGCTTCCCTGGCAAGCGCAAGGGCCTGAGTTCAATCCCCGGTTCTGATAAAAAAAAAAAAAAAGAAAGCAGTGGTAACGTGTGCCCAACGATAACCGCCAACTCATCTATCTTAGGTTGCCACCACCTAACACAGACATAGGAAGCAAAGAGTCTGAAAACAAAGTTTTTAAGTCTTTGTTGTCTATTAAGTTGCAATGTGTCGTGGGAAGTTGGATATTCTATGTGCTAGAATCATAGGAACTGCTTTATTCAATAAACTTACTAAGTCCTTGGTATTTTTGAGACATTAGGTTGGAGATGCAAAGATAGTAAGTTGTGATCTCTTCCCTCAAGGAATTTGAGTAGGGAAACACGTGTTTACAAATTATACAGTAATATTACAGGCACTATAGTAGAAATACATGCTTCGATGTTATTTTGATGAAGTTTTCTTGTTTATTCCCTGTCTGCTGTCTTTACTGTTTACCATAGATGACTCTTAGATTTATATTTCAACTCTTGAGAATATCTGTCTCCTACTTTCTGACTTATACTAAGACTCCTTCCTACATATTTCATCAGACCAAAATTAGTATTGTCTTTTTTTAAAAATGCAGTTCTGTTGTGTCCTTATTTTCAGTTATTTGCCCATGCTCTCAGTTCCATCTTGGCTCACTTCTCCAGTTCTCACTACCACCACCCACTTTGTCTTTCACCTTAATCTTCCCATTTGACTTTATTTATGACTCATTGTTTGCAGAGCAAAGTACAGAATCTCTTCTAGAGCTGACTCTAAACTGGCCTTTTCAGGGCTGGGGAGATAGCTCAGAAGCATAAGAGCCTACCTGGCAAGCGCAAGGTCCTGAGTTCGATCCCCAGTACCCAAAAAATAAAAATAATAAACTAGCCTTTCCAGACGTTTTCCTAATTATCTTCCATACGCTTCAACCAAACTGAAAGTTGTTATACAATTCGTTTTCAACCATTTTGCTCTTGACTTTTTTGCTTTATATATGATGTTTACCCTCTACTTCTACCTGTCTTTCCATTACAACTCGTATTCTATCCTTTCCTCCAACCTTCTCTGAATGTGTTTTTCTTCTGAAATAGTAGTGTGTCACTTGTGACACCACCAGATGATTTTGGTTTAAAATAGATTGATCTGATACCTACGGTATGCTATATACTGTGCTAAGGAGTTAATGCTACAGCTGCAGAGAAATAAATTGCCTGCTACTGAGCAACTTGTAGTCAAATCCTTCATGTGCAGTAATAGAAAGTATATGCAAGGTAAAAAAGGTAAAAAGGTATCAGGTGTGGTCCACTAGTGCAGTGAGAAAAATGTCCCTGGAATTTTGTAGGTAGATATGAATGGCTCATGGAGGGTAGAGAGAGCAAATGCAAAGGAGCAGATACAAAATATTGTCATATATTGAATAATTTAGTATTCTTTCTGCGTGGAAGCTGGGGAGGGATGTTAGGAAACATTGTTGAGGATAAGTCAGGAAACATAACAGGGGATGAAGCACTAAGAGCCTTTTATGTTCTGCTTAGAAGTATGGACTGCTTTTCTGTGAGTAGTGCTAAGCCCCTGAAGAGCTTTACAAATAGCAGTGAGATAGTTTTGAAACAAGATCACTCTGACAGTTACGTTGAGTGGAATATTTAGGGAAGTGCAGTTTGCAGCACACAAAAGAGAAACTTTTATAACAGATCAGGCAGAAAATAATAAAAGTCTGAAGAGTTAGATGATGGTGGTGTAGCTTTTTGGATGTATCTTGTCAGTGGGTCTCGACCAGGAATTGACAAACTATGGCGCGTGGGCCAAGTTCAGTCAACCACTAGTCTTGATGAATAAAATTATTTCTGAAACACAAGCACTCCATTTGTTGATCTATTGTCTGTGAGTGGTCTTATGCTGTCATGATAGAATTCAGTGTTTGCCACAGAGACTCACCTATAAAGTCACCTAAAATATTTACCGTCTGGTTCTTAGCGAAAAATTCTAAACTCTTAAGTCCGTATCTTATTAATCTCTGAATCTCCCACAGTACACAAAGACCTAAATACGAGCACATAGTAGGTATTCAGTTCATATTTTTAAATGGATAAACCCATATATGTGTTCTAAATTGGAACTATCCATAGGTCATCGTTCCCCTACATAGTAAAAGTGATTTTGTTATAACTCATTTTTTCAATGGTTTGGGTAGGGCGGGAATATAGTATTTAGTCTTTTATAGAGTAAATCTTTTCTTTTTTAGAGATTTTTTTTTTTACTTTAAAGAGAATAAAAAAATAAAACATTAAAAATGATACAGAATTTCAAAACAAGATAGGAAACCAACACTGGTTGTTATATTGTATATTGTCATCTTCAGAGCACTTGTTCAGATTACTAGATACAGGCATGCAAAATTAATAAAAAAAAAAAAAAACCTGGTCCTTTCAATAAGCCAATAGAAATCAGTAGTACAATTATCTTAGCTATCGTGTGTGTGTGTGTGTGTGTGTGTGTGTGTGTGTGTGTATTTCCTTCCTTTCTTCTTTCTTTTATCCCAGTTGTTACTTTTGAGCACCTTTCACAATATCTATTATACCTTTCTGATTTTATTTACTCTTTCAGTTTCTTATAATATGAAGACAAGATGATGTTTACATAGAATGGGTCTTTGTGGGCTTATTTTTTCATTCTTCCCTGTTGTGAAAATATTTCCATAAGTGCTGGTAACAACTACAATTTTCAGTTATGATATGCTTTCTTCATAGTATAAAAATGTATTATGTGTTGCTTTACTTCCTCTTCAAAAGATTTAGGCATAATTGAACACTTAATCAGGTGATTAAACAGGTCTTCCTTGTTAAACCCTGTTTTTTTCTTTTTTCCCCAGATTAGCCATAAATACCTGATACTTATGTCATTTGTAGCTGAGTCCATATTTGAGGTTAAGTAAATAAAATTCATGTGATTGTTCATTATTTGTATCTCTAAAGATTTTTTTTCCTCAGATAAAGAAGACCCATAGTCTGAATTTCTTCTCCAATATATTATAAGGAATTAAATGGTAGACACAAAAAAGCACTTTACTTGTAAAATAAAGTTCTGAGTTATGTTTGCTGAATTTCAATAAAATTATTTCTTTTCTGTAGACATTTTGATTAAGGTCATTTTACCTTTAATTTAAGAGAGGAAAGATAAGAACTTTGAAAGGTCGAATTTAAAAGGTTATGAAATTTAAGGGCGACCACTTGGTATTTGCTAGTGTTGAAATACAAGCTTATGAGTTTCTGTGGATATGAGCTGAAAGACGCTGCCTCTTCTGTATTGATTGGCTGTAATAAATAAAATTCAGAAAATATCTAACTAATGCAAACAAGTGAGAAAAAGTTTTCTAAATGAGTAAAAGTTTAAAATTGTTAATTTTTTGACATAAGATTTTACCAAATTTATAAAATAGTAAAGGTTCAGTAAAAAAATTTTTTAGGAAATATATTTTAATGAAAAAGTAAGAATAATTTGTTATTGAAATATTACTTACAAATAGATAACTTTTAAGTTTCTGAAAACACCTTGTTCTGCAAGAACTCTTCCCGGGGTCCAGGGAGATAGCTCAGTAGAATAAGTGCTTGCCTGGCAAGCACAGGGTCCTGAGTTCAATCCCCAGTACCGCAAAAATATAAAATAAAATAAAAGAACTCTTCCCCCAGCCATCTTCAATATTTTAAAACTTTTAATTGCCACACAGTAACTGTACATATCGATGGAGTACAATGTGATATTTCAGTGTAAATATAAGGATCAGATCTGGGCAACTGGCATATCCATCATCAGTATTTATCATTTCTTTGTGTTGGGAACATTCACAATCCTTATTTCTGAAATATACAATGAACTGTCATTCACTGTAGCTTGTGTGCTCTGCTGTAGAACATTAGAAATTATCCCTGCTATTGACTGCATCCCTGCCTTGTTAATCCTCTCTTAATCCCTCCCTGCCCTTTAGTTTCTGATCACCACTGTTCTACAGCCTCTTTCTATGAGATCAACTTTTTTAGCTTTCATATAAATGAGAATATGTGCTGTTTATTTTTCTGTACCAGCCTGACTTTACTTTTTATTCATGTAGTGAATCTTTTCTTCATGGTCAGTAAAAGGACAAGTTTTACATTGGCTTCAGTCCTAAAATCTGTTTTATTTTTTTAAAAGATTTTTCTTTAATACTGCTCTATGTTTCTCTCATTTTAATTCAGTTTACTGTAAGATCAAATAGAAATACAAAGTATCATAGTAAAAGTAAGGCTCGTAGCTTCATTGGTATTTTAATATGATTCTATTAGATCTTGCATTCTCACACTTGCATTAGAGTTTGAACCGTATAAATCCTTTTAGATGTGTCCAGAAGTTTTAATCTGATTTAAAACCATAAAGATACTTCAGAAGGAAACATTGTATCTATCCTATGAAAATCTTTAGGTTTATATGAATATAATATGAAATGAAATGATGTGTTTGACTATGCTTTTTTTTAAATTTTGTTTTTTATGTATTTAGTATAGGGTCAACAGGGTCTCACTATGCAGATCAGACTTGTAGTGATCCTCTTGTTTTCAGCCTCCCAAGCACTGGGATTACAAGCATGCACCACCACACCCAGTCTCAGTCTCAGCGAGCCCTGGGGCAAGGCCAGCACGGCATGCCAAGGATCAGACCCCCTGGCCCTTGCATGTGCCTAAACAGGTGCTTTAATCCACTGAGCTATCTGTCTGGCCTTGAATATACATTATAAACTATAAAAAACATAGGGCTGAGAAAGTAGCTCAGTATTAGAGTGAGTTTCTAAAATATGCCAGGCCCTGGGTTCATACCCTGGCATGAGAGAAATAAGTCACAGAGATGCCTCTTTCCTACAACAATTTTCCTTTTTAAACTTAGAAATTCTAAATAGGTGTTTAACAAATACGTAATATGTGTATGTTGAATACCCTAGTAATAATGTAAATGCCAGTTGTTTACAATAATGTAAATACTTAAGATTTGTCTATTAAAATGTTACCTTTTCTCCTTTTAAAAGTGTAGAAATTGATGTAGAATCAGTGTTGCTTATCTCCTCAAAGGTCATGTGTTGAGAGCTTGAGTCTCAGGGTAGCAGCAGTAGGAGGTGCTGTGAGAGGGATCGCAGGGCTGTCTCTGAATCCTGAGCATGGCTCTGCTCGGACTCACCCAGGCTTCCTCCAGTCAGCTCTGTGAGGTCTTCCTCCCTCCTTCTTTGCTTTCAGAGCTATACCAGGTCGTTTGGACTTTGAACATCCAAACTGGGAGCTAAATGAACCTTTCTTTAGAAAGTTACCCTCTTGGGTATCATAGTAATATAAAACAGTATGACGTTATACACAAATGCATTCTGTTTCTAAAAGATTCAAGGATGGCTGAAGATATAGCTCAGAGGTAGAACATTTGCCTAGCATGTATAAGACCTGAGTTTGCTGTTCATCACTTTAAAAATTCAAAGATGCTAGAGTATATAGGGAAAAATAGGAAAGACTGTGTCTAGTACCTTTTTCTTTCCTTCTCCAGAGCCAACATTAGGGTTATAACTCTGTAATTTTTTTTCTTTGCCTTTATATTTGTATGTATTTGTCATTTTTTTTGTGGCTACTATTTAGTGGATTTGTATTACAATCAGGGATGTCCATCCTACAGCCTGTTGGTTGGGCACACCAGTATTAATAATTTTAAAAATAAAAATCAGAAGTTTTATTACTGGCATAAATTAACATAAATAAGCAAGGCATGTCTAACCATGGGCTGCAGGTGGAAGCCTTCTTTACTTGTCATTATGTCTTAGATAGCTTTCCATGTCAGTACATGTAAATCTCCATTGTTATTTTGGACAGATGTTCAGCATTCTAGAATAGTACCACAAAATTTAAAGTGTAAGATCCACAAGGGCAAGAAACTCACATTTTATTTAGTGCTATTGTCTCTAGTTTCTTGGGCATACAGTAAGTACAAGTAAGTGCAGTAAATGAACAGTTTAACATATAGAATGCTTCCAGTTTTGATGATTAAAATCATGCTGTTAAGAAAGCGCTTGGTACTTCCTACCTGCATAAGGGTGTCACTTTCTCTTGTATTATTGAAGATAAGGATTTACTGTCTTCTAATTTTTAGTATTTCTAATAAAAATACATCGGTCTTATTTTGCTTCTTCATAGACATATTTTTGTCTCTCAGAGGTTCTTAAACTGTCTCTTCATCTTTGGTGCTTAGAAAGTTTACAACAGTGTGTCTTGACAGATGTATGTTTTTTGTTTTTTTCCGCTTACCCTGATTAGCATTTATTGAACCTTTTAAACTACTAAAACATATACTTTTATTGAGCTATAGAATTTTGTTTGTGTGTTTCTTCTCTGTTAACCTTTCTGTTCTCTGCTTCTGTGATTCCTGTCATATCTGTTGAAACATAGGAATTATATCCCGTGCTTCTTTTTTCTTTTTAGTGCTAGGATTTGGACTCACGGCCTTGCACATGCTAAGCAAGCTCTATTTTTAACCTTTCTCTTTCATTTTTGTCATTTCTTTGGATTTAGGAAAATAAAAGCAGTAAATACAAGTGTTCTGTTTGCCATCTTGATCCAGTTTCCTGACACTGTTCTTGTCTCCCAAGGCTACCTTTTTTATGCCTGTCATTTTGTCTCAGTAGTCTATTCCACAAGGAACATGACTCACATTTTATAATAATTGATGGAAAGCTTGATATTTTCTTAATGTATTTTTGTTATACAATCAGTTTTTTCAAAGGTGCCTTTTTAAAAAACCATATACCAGTTTAAAAATTAGAATCTTGCTTTGTGCTATTGGTAGTGAGCCCAATCACATTAAAAAATATGTATCTTAATCACTCACCAGGTCCAGGCATCTCCAAGTGCTGATAAAGGTCTTGTTGCTTCTCCAGATGGCTAAGTGTTAGCTCCAGGTGCAGTAAGTAGAATATTTGGGGCTGGCACCTAGGTTCTCAAGCACACAGGAAGAGTACAAATGAGTTTCAAAGTACTTGTTTTCCCAGTATAATGGTTTTTAAATCTAGTATAGTGTCAGAATCATTCTGTAACATTTTCTAATACTATAAATCTGTAGACCTTCCAGTGGACATGTCTTATTGGGATCCTGAGGGGGTTGGATCTGGACATCTGTGTATCTTTAAAGTTGCACTATGTTGCCCAGGCTGTCCTCAAACTCTTAGACTCAAATGATTCTCATGCTTCTCAGCCTTTCAAGTAGCTGGGAGTATCAGCGTACACCTGATTGTACTTCCCCTTTTTGGGGGGGCGGTGGCAACAGGGATTGAACTCAGGACCTTGCTCAGGACCACCAAGCTATCTCCCCAGCCCCTGTTCTTCCTTTTTTTTTTAAGGCAATAAATTTTTCATTGGTATAGATGTGTTGTATTTTGTTAACCCATCCCCTCTTGATAAACATTTCAATGTACTTTCATCCCTGTTCTTAGAAACTACTGTAGTAGATAGATATTCTTGTTCATAAAACTCTACATATTTATAGAATAAGTTCCAGGATGTGGAATTGTTCAAACTACAGATACAGATTAGTGAATTTAAGGCATTCTTTTGTTTGTTTCCATTTTTGTAAATTAATTAGTTGATTTCTTTTGGAGTCAGGGTCTCACTCTGTAATTCAGGATGGCCTTAAACTTACTACATAGCCCAGGCTAGTCTTGAATTTGAGGCAGTCCTCTTGCCTCAGCCTCCCAAGTCCTAGGATTACAGGCATGCAATACTATGCCTAGCTCATAACATAAAATTTATAATCTTAACATTTCTAAGTATTCAGCTCAGTGACATTAAATATGTCTGTAATTTTCTGAAACCGTTACCACTGTCTGCCACCAGAACTATTTCAGCTCAGAAAATTGAAACTATGCTCAACGATAATTCTCCATTCTCCACTCCCTACCCTAGCCCCTGGCAACCATCATTCTGGTCTGACTCTATGATTTTTTTTTTTTTTTCTTTCTTTCTTTTTTTGGCTGAACCAGGGATTGAACTCTGGCTCTTGCGCTTGCCAGGGAAGTGCTTATTCTACTGAACCATCTCCCTGACCCTGACTCTATGATTTTGACTACTCTTAAGTATCTTACAAAGGTGGAATCATACAACATTGATCTTTTTGTGAGTGACTTCATTTAGCAGAAGATTCTCAAGGTCCATCCGTGTTACAGCATGTATCAGAGTTCCCTTCCGTTTAAAGACTGAATGATATTTTATTGTATATATACCACATTGGCTTGTCCATTGATCCATCAGTGGCCATGTAGGTTGCCTCCATATGTTAGCTACTGTGAATTCTTACAAATATTGCAATGAACACAACTATATAAATATCTCTTCAAGACTCTGTTTTATGCTCTTTTGGATATACATCCAGAAGTGGATTTGCTGGATCATGTGATATTTATAATTTTCTTTTTTTGAGGAGCCACCATACTGTTTTCCAGAGTGGCTGTGCCATTTTGTATCTTCCTAGTAATGCATATATGTTTCATTTTTCTGTATATCTTTGTCAATACTTTCTGGTTTTGTTCTTTTTTTAGTAGTAGCCATACTAATGAATGCAAAGTGAAATCTCATTATGATTTTGCTTTTCATTTCTTTAATGATTAGTAATATCAAGCATGTTTTGTGTGTTTTGACCTTTTGGGGTTTTTTAATAGAAATTTTTCTTTAAGTGGTTGAAAAATTAATAAATAAGTGCTTGAGAAATTTCTACTTAAGTTGTTGAATTTTAAGAGTTCTATAGATATTCTGGGCATTATTTCCTTTTAATAAATGCAGTTCACAAATACTTGATTTTTTTTTTTTTTCTTTTTTGGTTGACTCAGCCCTCCCTGAGGTCAGGACTGGCACGGCATGTGCTGCCAGGGATCAAACTGGGGTCCCCGGCTCCTGCCTCAGCTTGTCTACACATGTGATTTAAACTGCTGAGCTGTCTCGCCAGTCTCTTAAATTTTTTGTTTGTGAAAGTATTGTTAATTTTCAGATATTAGGTTCTTAAGCTATAAAAATATCCCTGAATCTTGAAAATCATTACGTTTTGTTTTTAATTCTACTTAGGCCAGTACTAAAGTTGAAGTGGACATGGAGAAAGCAGAGAGTCTGAAGGTAACAAGAGGGGACTTCCTTGCTTCACTGGAGAACGACATCAAACCAGTGAGTGCACATGTTGGGTGATGCATGCGGCCTAAGTATGGGAATGATTTAGAAAAAATAAGTACTGTTTTACCCAGTGCTATAGATGGCTCTTACGTAGTTTTCCTCTTTTTTAAAGGACCTCAGGTACGCAAAATTTGGTTAATTTCTTATTCTTTAATTCTTACTCTTTCTGACAGTTACTAGCTTATCGCACGATATGTATAAAATAAAACATGGAACTTGTAACTTTCTGGGAATCGCTATCTTAGTAATATTTTAATTACTAAGAGTCATCATAACTGGCTAGACACGGGTTCACACACTATAATCCTAGCACTTTAGAAGGCTAAATTGAGAAGATTACAACTTTGAACTCAACCTGGACGGTTAGGCAAGATCAAGACACTATCAAAAAACAAAGCAAAAGAATAGAGATGTATCAAAGTTCTGGATTCAAACACCAATACTAAATAAATAAAGTGATTTCCTACAGCTAGACACCATTCATTTTCATTACTGTCCAGCATCTAGTGTGTGAACACCACAGTTTATCATTTTTCTGTCAGAGCGCATTCAGAATATTACCAGTTTTTTATTAAAAACAAGTACTGTTGTAAATATTCTTCAATGAGTTCCTCTTAGATATATATTTCGGAATAAAATTATTGGGTTGTTGGTTATATGAGCATCCAACTTTAAAATATAATTTAAAATTGTTTTCCAAGAGGGTGAATCAATTAGCACTATCTGCAAAAGTCAGAGATATCTTGCTTCACATCTTTTCCAGTGCTTGTTATTAACTAATTTCATCATTCAGTTGGACATAAATTCCATGGGGTCTCATTCACACTTTACAAAATTAAGTAGTTCTTTTTATTTGTAACTCTGTGTGTCTCTTTGAAATGCTATTCATAGGCAGGCAAGATAGCTCAGCAGACTAAGCACCTGCCTAGGCAAGCATAGGGACCGGGTTTTGATCCCTGGCACCACAGACTGCGCCAACCCCATCCCCTGGCACACTAAGCCAGCCACCACATGTGGACGTGGTGGTGCATACCTGTAAAACAGGAGAAAAATGAGTCTGAGCTGTATATAGTGAGACCCTGTACCAAATACATTTTAAAGAGAGAGAGAGAGAGAGAGAGAGAGAGAGAGAGAGAGAGAGAGAGAGAGAGA